CGGGGCCGCGGGAAGTCCAGGGGAACAGGGGCCCTAAAAAAAAAATTCGGGGGGGGAGAGGCCCCCGTCTCCACGCGAGGAGTATGGGCGGCGCCCCCTAAAAGAGGCGATGAAAGAGCTTTTTCCCCCCCCCCACACGGAAAAAAGCTCCCCCCTTTTTCCCCCCCAGGCGCCCACCCCCCCCCCTTTTAGGTGCTCCCCTTACCATCCTTCCTTTTCAATCCTCCCTTGGCCATACTCCCGCCCCCTTTTGTTTGCCCAAACTTGGGGAAGTGCCCCCCCCCCCCCCCCCCTCGCAAGGGCTCTCCTCGGCCCGATGGTCACCTTCTTCGTCGTCTACTCCCTCCTCCTCGGCGAGATCTTCGACCCAGACTTCACAAACTGCGTGGTGGGGTACTGGCCGGCCTACGTCTCCCCCTTCTTCTTCTACGGCGCAACCACGCTCTACATGGCGCGCCGCAACATCGCGGAGGGAGCTCGCATGCTCGAGGCGGGCATCGAGCCCGTCGCCGGCGACATCGTCTGGTCGCGCAAGTCGGCGGGGATGCTCGTCCCCGCCGCTGTCGGCGCCGGAGCCGCGGCGGGGCTGCTCGGCATCGGCGGCGGGATGATCCTCGGCCCCATCTTCGTCGCGCTCGACTTCCAGCCGCAGGTCGGCACCGCGACCACCGGCTTTATGATCCTCTTCACCGCGATGGGCGGCACGGTAAAGTACCTCACCATCGGCAAGCTCTCCTGGCAGATGTTCCTCTGGTTCGCCGCCGTCGGCGCGGTCGGCGGCCAGACCGGCCAGCGGCTCGTGCGGCGGCTCATCCAGAGGACGGGGCGGCCGTCGTACGTCGTGTTTTTGCTCGGAGGGATCATCGCCGTCGCCGTCGTCGTGATGACCTCCTTCGGCATCCAGCAGGCTGTCGAGGACGCCGACTGCGGGGAGGACATCTGGGCGCCGTCGACCGACCAGTTTGTCTGCGAGGAGTAGCGACGCACGCGCGCGCCAGAGGAGGTTCGCTCTCCCCGATGCCGATGGCGCCCGATGCCGTCGGGGCAAACGGTTCCATGCAGCATGAGAAACCATGAAGAAGGCGAAATACACGACGCCAAACCTAACCTGTCGTACCGGGGCGCGTGGGTTGACACGGTTGCGCAGCATCCCGATGTCCACACCCAGCGAACCCCCGAGAAAAAGTGTATCTTGCCGGGGGTTGACCTTGCGTTTTGTTTGACGTGCGTGTACGGCTTTACGCATTACGGCTCTACAGTGTAGGGTCTACACACCGTGCTCCGTCCGTGGCGTGTCGTGACTCGTGTACTGGGCACGCCGTCGGTCAGTGGGCCAGGCCCTCCCGCGCCTGCCTGCGCATTCGCGTTCGAGAGGAACGACGTGAGCGACTCGATCTCGAACGGGTCGGTTACGGTTTCTAGGAGGCGGTGGCGCTGCTGTGAAGTGCTGTCACGTGCTGTCCGTGCGTGAGCGTTGATTGACCGTGTCCGTCTCGATCTCTTGTGTCTTGACCTTTCTGAAGCGGCCGTCTCCTTGAGCCGCGGCGTGCCGCGCCCCTTGCCGTCGTGCGCATGCTCATGAACATGTCCTCCTGCGCGGAGACCATGCGCAGGAGCTGCAGCGTGTGGGCGCCGGTCTTGTAGCAGATTGTAGGTAGGGACGAATGCAGGATGGCCACTGGTACCTTTCGTGAATACACCCCCTAGACGCGAGGCTCCCCGAACCAACGGGGCCAGACCCTTCCAGAAGGTACCCCAGGGACGCCCAAAACCGCCCACAGCAGCCCCACAACATAAACAGTACTCGGCATAACCACTCAAAGTTGGCCCCCCACCGGGGGTTCGGTGTTTCACGTTAGGGGCCCACTCTCCGCACCGGCAGGCCGCCTTGAGCCCCCTAGGCGGGCCGCCGCTGCTCTAGCGCGCAGCGACACGAGGTGCAAAGGGCCCGTATCCACCACAGACACCCTCACGCTGTCTCCCCAGGCCTCAGCCGCGGCGCCGAGGGCGATCCTGCGCAAGGGATCACTGCTACAGAGCAGCAGCGGCCGGCAGCGGCGCGGCCGGCGCGGCCGGTGGCGCCGGTAGCGCTGGCCGCCATCCGCGATGGCGTGGAGGTCGGCGAAGGTGCGTAGGGCAGCGCGAGAAGTGGCTGCCGCGCTCCCGAAGGCAGCAGCAGCGCGAGCACCGTGTCCGGCGTCTCGTTCAGTAGCGCTACGGTACCCGCTAGCGGCGCGTCGCGGCTCCTTTCTGACTTTATCAGCTCGTTTTTCCCGCTTGGCCTACGAGGGGAGGGAGCACGAGCGCTGAGCAAGTGGGAGGGCAGACAGGTATCGATGTGCGTGTCGGGAGGTCGGGGCTCTCGCAGAGACCTGCCGGTCGCAAAGAAGAGCGTAAAAGGCTCTGAGTAGACTTAGACGCTCGCGCCGCCCGCTCCGGAGGCCACATTCAGCTCGGAGGGGACCGCGGGAGCGCCCAGTGGCGGCTCGGGGAGAGCCGGCTGTGTCTGCGCAGTGGCCTGCGCGCTGCCTTGGGCAGAAATCGCGCTCTCGCCCCCTCGGCTCCTCCGGCATGCCGCCGTTCTCGCCCTCGCCTCCAGCCGCCCCGCTGCCTTCCTCTCACCCGCCGTCCCTACCGCCGCGCCCTCGCCGCTGCCCTCCCAGCCCCCTCCCAACCCGCCAGCCTCCGCCGCGCCGGCCGGCATGCCACCGCTCTTGCCCTCGCCCCCCGCCGCCCCGCCCCGCCATTGCCGCCTCCGTCAGTCACCGCCGCCGCCACCCTCGAGCCTCGTCACCACCGTCTCCACCGCCGCCGCCACCCTCGAGCCTCGTCACCACCGTCTCCACCGCCGCCCTCGCCGCCACACCGCCCTTAGCTTACCCCCACCACCATCCTTGCTGCCGTCGCCGCCACCTACCACGCCCCCGCCGCCCTCGCTGCCGCCTTGCCGCCCCCACCCTCACCCTTACCATTGCCCCCGCCACCCTCGCGCAGCCACCCTCGCCCCCACCGCCCTCGTCGCTGCCCTCGCCGCCGCCGCCGCCCTCTCACCCGCCACCCCTACCACCGCCCTCGCCGCCGCCCTTGCCGCCCCTTCCCGGCTGGACGCGCCCGAGCCCACACCCACGCAGGGGCCCCGCGGGGGAAGGGTCACGCCAGCTCACAGCTCACACGTCACTGAGAAGGCAGCTGGCGGCGTACTTTTGCGGCATCAAAGGTGCTCTAGGCATCACATACTGCAACCCCAGAGGGTGCACAACACTGGCAAAATCCAAAAAGTGAGACATAAGACATAACCTGGCGCCCCCCGGGGGGCGTGTCTCATTTGACGAATTTACATATTATTTTACGTGTACGAATACAAACAAACTTGTCACCTGGCGGTACCCGCGGCCGCGCGGATGGCCAGCGGGAGGGCCAAGTGGCGCGGACGGCCCTAACCCCACCCATCTAGCTAGGCCGAACGGTGAACGCGTGTGCATAGTGAAAGGAACTGTCCAGCATGCGGGCGATGCCGCCTCGCGCGAGCTCGTCTCTTGCCTCTACGCGACTTGTTGGTACTCGGCGCTGTCCTACACCAGTCACAACGATGCACCGTTAAGCATGGGTGGAGGCGCTGGATCGACCACTCTCGTCGCACCGCCAGCGGTAGCACCGCCCGCGTCGAAGCCGCAACCCTGCGAACGGCGGCGGCCACGGCGGCGGCGGCCACGACGGCGGCGGCGAACGCCAACACCGCAACGACTCGGAGCGTCTGAGGAGCACGAGCGGCGTCCTGGCGTTGAGCCTCCGTGTCCGCGCCTCGAAGAGAGGGGGCGGGGAGCGCAACCGCCGCCACCGCCGGCTCGGTGCGGCCCAGCAGCTGCTGCCGCTCGAGCCAGCCGGGCGTCGCCTCTGCCGCGATGTGCCCTTCGATGCGCGCCGGGCCGCTGTCGAAGCCGGCGGCGGCCAGCCACTCGCTGCTGTAGCCGAGGTTGGAGACGGCGACCGCCTGGCGGCGCTCGAGCCCCGCCCGCGGCGCCGCCTCTCCGCCGTCTGCGTACTTGCCAACGAGGTCGTCGGTCAGCGCCCACGTCGAGGCGAGCACCTGCAGGAGCTCCCAAGCAGGTTCCGGGAGGGCTCCGAGACGGCTGAGCTGCTTCCGCGTCGAGGCGCGAGCACCGCCGCCGCGTGCCGCTCAATCTGCCGGCGGAGGCTCGGGGCCGAGTCGCCGCGGAGGCGCTGCAGCGCGTCGGGCGGAGGGGAGGCTGCCTGGCCTTGGCCTGGGGCGCCGCCGCCGCACTGGAGAGCGCCGATCTGGAGGGCCAGCGCCGCGCCCTGCTCCTCCCACTCCAGCGAGTGGGCGCGGATGTCGACGATCATCGCCGAGTAGCGGACCTGCGCCAGGTTCTGCGTGTACCGGTGCGCCCAGTACGCCGACTCGCGGTCCACCTTGCCCGGCCCTCCGCGCGTGTACTGCTCGGGCGGAGGGCCCGCGCAGACACTCAGAGGCACAAAGACTGTGGTGGCGGGGTCGGCAGGCCCGAACCAGATCTTGCTGCGGCAGCCGCACCCGTCCCCGCGGTCGCCCCGTCGCAGCGCGCCGGTCTCCTCGGGAGGAGGGTCCGGAAGGAGTTTCTGGAGGGCGACCGCACCCGACGCCGCGGCGGAGTCCCTGTCCACTACGGCGGAGTCCTGCTTGCGGTCCCTGTCCGCGCTCCCGCCCGCCTGCGCGATCCAGGCGAAGGCGGCGCGGTAGATTGCGACGGAGCGCTCCCACGCGCCCCTCTTCGTGTCGCCTGGCGTGCCCGGGACGGCGTAGCGATCGGGCGAGCCGAAGGGGCCCGCGGCGACGCCGCGCGTCATGTCGAAGCTCGTCCCCTCGTAGTGGGAGCGGTGGGCGGCGAGCAGGTCGGTCAGGGCGAGCGGCGCGTCCGGCGGGACGGAGAAGGGGTACGGCCTGCTCTCCTTGAGCCCGCTCCACGGGTCGGTGCTGTTGTACGCGGGTGGGAGCGCCACCGACGGCGCGAAGCGGCGGAAGCCGTCCCACATCCGACGGCCGGAGTAGTACCTGGCGGGCGGAGGCGGCTAGGTGCGTGTGCGACGGAGTGGCGCCTCGGGCCTGCGGCGGGGGCGAGCCGCACTTGTTTCCGTACTCGCCGAGCGAGAAGGCGGCGGTGAAGTCGAGCTTCCCTCTCCCGTCCCACAGGCCGTGCTGCAGCGCGACGCGGTGCATGTGCGGCGAGCCGAGGAAGCGGTCCGCGTCGTCGAGGTCCACTTCGCGGATGACAAAGTGGTTGGCCGCCACCATCACCTCCCCCTCGGGCACCCGCTGCGCCGCCCAGATGGCGCTCCTCGCCGTCGGGTCAGAGAGGATGTGGAAGACGAAGACCTCGTCCGGGTCTCCGACGACCAGCATCTCGCCCGCGCCGCCATCCGGCCCGAAGAAGCCGTACTGGACGGCGAGGTCGCCCATCAGCTGGACCGCCTCCCTCGCCGTGCAGACGCGCTCCGCGGCGAGGTGGCTCAGCTCCTACAGCCGAATGCCGACGCTCAGAAGGGAAGTAGCAGGACGGTCGTGGCGGCGAGCGGCTCAGCTCGCCTCAATGGCGAGGAGGGCGGTGCCGTTTGGCGTCCCGACCGCATCGGCACGGAAGACCGCCGAGGCGGTGCTCTCGCCGAAGCTCAGCTCGCAGTCGTTCTGGATGGCGTAGCCGTTGAGGTAGTAGCCGTGCGTCGCCTCAACCTGTGGGATTTGTCCGATCGGCTTTGTGAGCGCCTGCCCTGGAAGCGGCAGAAAGGTCTTGCCAAAGGCGTCTCCGATGAATTTTGGGTACTCGTCGATGGTAGGGTAGATGTCTCGCATCGAGCCAGGCTTGTGCCGCGCGGGAGGTACATACGAGAGCCGAGAATCTGAGTCTCCGGCGCCGTCGTCGCTGTGCGAGACCATGGTGGATCCATCGGCGCTCGCGGTGCGGCTGACGCCGTACATGGTGCAGGCATCGGTGGACGAGAGCGCGAGCAGCGCAAAGAGCGAGCGGGGCGTCATATTCTCAGACGGTTGGACGTCGAGCGAGCGCTGTCGTCTGACTGCGGACCGTCTGCGGACCGAGCACAGGGCGAGCCGAAAGGGCCGAGCCAGACTAGCGAAAGCAGGGTGTGAACAGCCGCTGACTTCTCTGAGCTTGTGCTCTGGGTCCGTTTTTGGGTTTTAGGTATGTTGTTGGCAAATCAAGACACAGAGCTCACACAGGATCACAGCGGGAGGAAAGCGGCGAGTCGCAATTCCAGGGGTCGTTGTGGCGGGCCACCCTGTCCAGAGAGGCATGGATGCCAATCTGGGGTCTCTCGACCGTGGTTGTGTTTCTGTGTGAACAGCCGCTGACTTCTGACTATCAATCAATCAATTCTGACTGTCGCTGCTGTCTGACCCTTCTCGACTGTCTGTGCTTGTGCGTCTTGGGTCCGGTTGAGAGAGAGAGAGATTTTTAGCAATACCTTAAAGAGAGGTTACAGGCGTGTAAGGTCCAATACCAAACAACTCTAACACTCACACGTTTGTTTGTCCGGTTGTGCTTTTATTTACGTGAACAGCCAGTGCGGCCTCCGAGCGAGTCGGCGTTTGCGCGCGCGAGAAGGAAGGTGTTTGCTCCTGCGCGTTGCGTGACTGTCACTGTGCGATTTCGGGCCCGGGGTTGTGCTTTTTGCGTGAACACGCCGACCGGGACATCGAACAAGTGTGAAGTGCAAGTGAGTGAAGATGAGGGCGGAGTGCATGGAGCATTGCACAATGTTCACCGAGGACCGAGACGACTCTGTCGAGCCTGAGCTCGGCCTCGCCCTCGGGCAGGGGCCGTGTAACGCTGTAAAACCTTCCTGGGTCTGTCTCTCACACGCTCACTGGCTTATTGCAATCAAAGAGCGAGTCAAAAGTGAAAAGACCTCCCATTGGCATTGTGCATTGCAATGGGAGGTCTTTTGACTCGCTCTTTCACTTGATATGCATGTGTACTGGACGCGTCCACACCCTCCGAGCTCCGTCTCCAACATTCGCGATCCCTCTTTTACATACATAAACAAATTCTGGGCAGACGTGCACCGCACGGTGTAGTCTCCGGCAATATCTTGGGAGATCCTCACACATCATGTCGCGCCTCCCGCTAGCACCCGCTCCGCGGGCGAGAGCGACTCCAGCGACGTTTGCGCAACCCGCGCCCGGTACCACGCGACGACAGCAGGGTGGGCGCCCACGGTCTTCCGAACCGCCTGGAGGCGCGGGAAGGGGTCGCATGCTGTGGGAGGGACACCAAAGTAGACGCCGCCGACCAGCCTGCCGAGCGCGGTGAACGTCAGGATGCTCGCGACGTCGAGCTCGTCGCCCACCGCGTGGCCGCCTACGCCGTGCGCTGCGACGAACTTTTCGAGCCTCGCAAGGAAGTCGTACACCGACCCACCCTCCGGCACTGCGGCTCGGCGCGCGGCCTCCTGCTCCTCCTTCGGGAGGCCCTGGCCGACGCTGGTCACGATCGCGCCGAGGTCCTCGAGTGCGTCCATCAGCTCGTCCGCTCGCTGCGCCGCGAGCGGGTCGGCCGGGTACAGGCCGGCATGCCTGCCGACGAAGCGCAAGATGCTCCGCGCCTGAGCAAGCTCCGACCCGTCGGCGAGCTCCAGCACAGGGGCGGTGGCCCACGGAGTCGTGTGCTTCACCTTGCCCCACTCCGGAAAGGGAATGCGCTTGTCCTCAAAGTCGACGCCGCCAATGGCCAAGGAGAGGCGAATCGCTTCTGCCCGACCTGGGATTCCAAAGTAGGAAAGCTTGCAGCCAGACAGGACCGAGGCCGGCGCGGCAGCGGCGTGCTGCATCCTGGCGCCGCCGCTGCGCAAGGCGAAGCTACGCACCGTGTGTTGTGCTCGTTGCACGGCCGGCGCTCCCAAAGGCGTTGGTGGCACCAGCAAGCAGGCGACGAGTGGTGGCAGCGAAGGCAGCATGCTCGAGATTGCCTTTGGGTTGTGCTCGATTGTGCGCCCACGGCGAAAAAGAGAAACTTCGCTCGCGATGCCACGACAGCGAATCTACCCTTATAAGTCTCTCGTGTCCGCGCCGACGCTCTTGGTTTAACCGTAGAACGTCCCAGCCGAAATCCGCCCGCCGACGATCGATCAGTCCATGTGCCTATCACAGTAGCCCGAGGACGGGGGGGGGGCGGGCCTCACCCGGGGCTCACCGGGGCCCGGCCGTCCCCGCCCCCTCCCTCACCTGCCCCACCCCGGGGCCTCACTCGCGATGCGCTGTCCCGGGGGGGTAGCTCGCTGCCCGACCCAGCCAGGGCGCAGGGGCACCACGGGCGGGCCACAGCCCACGCGCACGCGGCCCCGTACCTACGCCTACCGGCTACCGCGCGCCCCCGGCCCACCAGCGCCACGCCTAAAAGATTAAGAATTCTACCCCCTGAAAGGCGCGCTCCGGACGAAAGAGCAAAGCTGAATGGGCGGGTCGGGTGCCGCCGGGGTGGCGGGTGGGTGGGGGGGGGTGGGGGCACCCGGGGCGCCTCACTCTGAGGAGCTCCGCCCCGCCCCTGCCCCTCTCTGCCCCGGGGGTGGGGCCTCACCCGCAGCCGGCGCGTCCCGGGGTGGGGTCTCGGGGTGAGTCCCGGGTGAGGCCCGCCCCCCCCCCGTCCTCGGGCTACTGTGATAAGCACACCACAATCGTCGGCCCGCAGCGACCCGCAGCGATGGATGCCGCCGCCCCCCCGGCCCCTGCGGCTGACGCGCCGATGCACGACCGGCCTCCGTCGGATGGCTCTCCGGCCTCTCCGGCCGCTGACGCGGCCGCCCATGCTGCTGCCGATCCGGTCCCTCTCACGCTCAGCGATATCCGCACAAGCTACGACAACTTCGAGGTCGCCGGCTTTGGCCAGGTGCAGAAACCAACCTGCTTGCCTCCATGTTCACGCTTCGCGCCCCTTCCCCCCCTCTGACGCCGCCGTATGACCGTAGGTGAGGGGCACGACTACCCGCCTGGAAGGCGCTCTCATCAGCAAGTCACCCAGGCACCAACTCCTGGGCGTTTACGCTTGACTACGAAACCATGCAGTGGATGCAGCTCGATCAAAACGGCGACGCCAACAGCTGGTCCCTGGGCGAGTTCCTCGCCCAGGATGAGGTGCGAGTCATGATGCTCGACCCAGCGTGCACCAAGTCGCTCACATTCCGTGAGTTCGTCAACGGGCCGAACACACTCTCCAAGTCGACTGCGATCTCGAACTCCGACAACTGGACCGGTGCACCAGAGGACGATGGCTCCCTCGACGACATCCCTTCATCGACGGATGCCTTCACCGCCGCCGGCCCTGGGCCATCCAGCGCGGCCTCCGACGGCCTGCACGTGATCGAGCGGGTACAGAAACGGTGGCTGCCGCAGCTCACACCCTAATCGATCTGCCTTAGGCACGGAGCCAACGGAGCCATCGCGCATGCCCGCATCGCGTGCGGCTCCGAGGTCTCCCGCCGAGACCGGCTCGGCGCGGCGCGTGGCCGCACGCCGCCGTTGAAATGGCGAGATAGGACCGAGGGGAGAGCGCTGGCCACATCGAGCGAGCGCTGACGTGTAAGGTGTCTGTGCTGCTCCGGTGTGTGTGGGATTCTGCCTCCCCCCCCATCTGTGCGGCGAGTTGTTTGCGGCGCGATGCCCGATCGTGCGCGATAGCCTCCCATTGTGCGTGGTGTGTCGGTTGTCGGGGTCGTCCGGAGCGTGTGGCGGCGCCGTTGCATGCAGCGACTGCTCCACGTGCCACGACTGCTTTGACTGACGTGACTGACTGATGAGTGCCACGAACTGCTTTGACTGACGTGACTGACTGATGAGTGCCACGAACTGCTTTGACTGACGTGACTGACTGATGAGTGCCACGAACTGCTTTGACTGACGTGACTGACTGATGAGACATGAGTGCTGATGGAGAGAGAGAGAGAGATTTTTAGCAATTGTGTTCTGATGGATGATCTCCGACAACCCAAAACCAAAATGCAAATGAGTGGCCCACTTTGGCGTGCAGATCCTGCGTCTCTCACTGCCCGAACAACAGAGACGGGTACCGCCGCAGGTCCCACACTAGTGTGGGGACTATGATCCGTACGGGGCCCGCTCAAAAAGAATTTTACCCTCAAGCGTCCCGCCGCCCGCATGCGAGACCTGCTCTTGACGCGGCCGTAATGCTCGAGTCGGCTGGCAGGCTGCCGCCCTTCACGGCCTTCGGCACTGACCTCGAGGCCGAGGGCGCCCTGGCTCGGGTCGCGTCGCAGCTCGCCTACCAGCGCGAGCTCATTATCGTCTGCAGTGACGCCGCGCCGACTGCCTCCGCGTCGAATGCTCTCAACACGGTGCTGCAGTTGCGTGCGCTCGGCCTGCACCACGTGCTCTTCCTCTCCGACTCGCCTGCGTCCTGCCTCTCCATGCGCGGCGCGCTGCCCGACATCGCCTGCGTCTGGTCGTCGCGTCTGCCAAAGACGATGCCGGCCAACCCGGGCCTGTGCGCCAAGATGTACTGGGGGTACGCCTTCTACTTTTACGACCTGCGCAAGCACTATGCGGCGCGGCTCGCCATCGAGTTTGGCGTCAACGTGCTGCAGACAGACACCGACGTCGTGTGGCTGTCCAACCCGTACCCGACTCTCAAGGGCATCTATCGAGGCGTCCAGCTCGTCTCGATGTCGGACACGCCGCTCGTCAACGCGGGCGTCTTCTACGCGCAGGACGTGAGGCCGGGCGACGGCGCCGCCTGGGTGCTGCGCGAGCTCTCCCGCCGCCTCCACCTCTTCATCACCAACTCGAGCGCAGTCAAGCAGTATGTGCCGTGGGCGCAGCCGCCGTACTTTGCAAACATCGACGAGCAGACGCTCATGAACGATGTGAGAGACGGCCTCCGGCCGGCCGGGCGCGACGGCGGGGCGCGGTGGCTTGACCCGCCGCCGCCGCGCCGCAGGTGCTCCGCTCCTCGATCGCAAACGTCACCAGCTACGCGCAGGCGCCGTGAGCGGGCGGCGGCGGCGGCGAGGAGGCTGCACGCCGCGACACGTCCGCGACACGTCCGCGACGCGTCCCGCAGGCGACGGCGCACTGGGAGGTGAAGAAGGGGGCGACGGGCACGCGCAAGAACCGCACCTTCCGGCGCCGGCGGCCCGCCCCCGCGCGGTCGTGCGACGAGCGTCGGTGACGCTGTCGGCCGTCGGAGTGGCGTAGGTGGAAGGAGACGGCAGAGTACGCGCTGCTCAACTTTCTGGGCAAGGAGGTGCCTCGCCGCAAGGTGCGGGCGAAGCTCAACGCGACCGCGCGCGTGGGTGAGTTGTGCGGCGCGCCGCGCCTCAACGGGCTCAGCAAGTACCCCCTCCACGAGGTGCCGGCTCCCGGCTCCCGGCACCTCGGCAGCACCTTCGGCAGCACCTCGGCTGCACCTCGGCAGCACCTCGGCAGCACCTTCGGCAGCACCTCGGCAGCACCTCGGCAGCACCTCGGCAGCACCTCGGCTGCACCTCGGCAGCACCTCGGAGGCACCTCGGAGGCACCTCGGAGGCACCTCCGGCGATGAAGTGGGAGAACGCGTCGCCCCCTCCACGAGGTTGGCTCGCCGAGGCCGGCCCGCGCATGGCTCTCGATCGCGCCGCTCTGGCTCTTCATGCCCTTCCCGAGCTCCTTCTCCGCGCGCGAGATCCGCACGTGCGAGCGGAACGGGACGATGGGCGTCGACGGCGCAGGCGCCGCGCCAAGCCTGTCTGGTGGAGGCCCGAGGGCCACTGAGAGGGTTCGCGGGCCACCTCCCTCCCGCGCCCGCGTGCTCACTCCCGCGTGTGCCGCGCGCGGGGTGGCAGGCGGCGCCCCGTTTGTGATGGGTCACATGGCGGGCATCCGCACCGGCGCCTGCCGACGCCGCGCCTATCCTCCGGGCGAGAGAGGGTGCGACGTCGCACCAGATGCTCCGAGAGTAGGCGCCTGGTCTCGCCGCGCCATCCTGCGGGCGCACGGCTGGTGGGAGGCTGGCGCCGACCGCCTCCTCTCCGCCTACTACGGCTGGGCCAACCGCACCTCGCGCCTTGCGGTCGCCGAGCCGGCGGGAGAGGTGCGGAACGGCAGCTGCGCCGCGCCGCTCGAGTCAGGCGAGGCGGAGAGAGAGAGAGAGCAGCTGTGGGGGGAGAGCCGCCACGGGAAGAGCCGCCGCGAGCGTGCTGCGCGCGGCAGGGCATGTCCATGACACGCCCACGACACGTCCATGACACGTCGAGCGGACCCCGCCCCCGCAGGTCCGCTCAAGCAGCTCGACTTGCTCGTCGGCAACCTCATCCTCATCAGCCACGCGCTCGGACGTGTGCCCGTCGTCCCGCAGGAGCGGCGCCCGAGATGCGCACGAGATGCGCACGAGATGCGCACGAGATATGCGCCCGAGATATGCGCCGCGATACGCCCGCGATACGCCGCGATACGCCGAGGCGTGCCGTGCCGAGGCGCGAGGCCGAGTGTCCGCGCAGGTTGGCTGCGCCGGCCTGCACAAGCCAGGGCAGACCATCGGCCACCGCGTGCGTCCCTTCACGAGGCGAGGCGGCGCGCACCGCGCCCTCCTCGGCACTTGCGGCTGGATGCCGCCTCGCGCCTGCTACCGCCTCCACTACAGCACCGCGGCCGAGCTCGTCGACGCCAAGGGCTCGCACGCCGCCCAGCTGCCGCGCTGCTCCTCGTCCGACAGCCGGCCGGCCGCGTCGCCGCAGGCCGGGCCGGCGGCAGGCTCGACCGGCCCGCTGGGCAGCTTCCTGTCTGGAATCGCGGGGCTGCTCGGGCGTGCGCCCGTGGCAGGAGGGCGTCGGTTGGAGGAGGAGGTTCCGACGCTGTCGCAGCTGACGCGGCTCCGCGACGCCGCCTCGGACGACCTCGCCCGAGCGAGGGCGCAGCTCCGGGCCGCGCAGAACGGCCCGGAGCGGAGGCAGCAGAGGCACCACGAGCATGTGGAGGGGGGAGGGCCACCGGAGGGGCACCCGCACCACCCGCACCACCCGCACCACCCGCATCACAACGCCGAGGCGTGCGGCACCGCGGGGAGGATCCTCGCGCACTCGCTGGGCTCGAGCCTGCCGATCAGCCACGCAAACGCGTCCGAGGCGCGCCCCCCCTCCCGGCTTGCGAGGCCGCCCACCCGCGCCCTCTGCCCCCCCCTCGCCCTCCCGGAGCCGCCTCTCGCCTCTCCAGGCGCACGTCCTCCGCCGCCGGCTGCGTGAGGCGGCCTGCGACGGCGGCGGCGTGCTGCACCTGCTGCCGCCGCCCTCGGACGAGCGGGAGGAGCTGCTGGCGCTCCTCCGCTCGACGGCGCTCCTGCGCCACCCCGTGCGGCAGCTGCCGCCGCTGCTCGCCAACGTGCGGAGCGCGCTCGGCGTGCCGGCCTCGTGGGGCAATGCGGAGCGGCAGCGGGACGAGTACGTGGCGGAGTGCGTCGAGGCGCTCTACGGCCACCAGGTCGATGCAGCCAAGGCCGAGGAGAGGAAGCTGTCCAAGCCGAAGCGGCCTGTTCTGGGGAGAGCTTTTGTGAAACGGACCCCCTCCCCCTGACGCCCCCCCCCCCCCCCCCTGCGATGGCCGTGTGGTGACCCGAGCGGGCGAGTCGCAGAGGGTGACTATCCATCTGACTTCTAGTCACTTCAGATCCTTTCCCCAGCATTGTCGATTGTGAGCGTTGTGTGGGTGCTTGTCGCGTCGGCTTGTTCCTTGTAGTGGTGGCGTGTGGCGTGGGCCGCATGGATGTGATGTTTAGCGGATGTGTGTGTGGAGAGCCTTCCAAACGACGGTGACGCGAAAAACACAAAAAAGTCTAAAGTGAAAAGACAAGAGAAACAAAGATACTAGATGCTATTGCTATCGTCATAGAATATCTCGACGCAAACTGATGTGTTGCTCCCCTACCCTTAGAGTTCCGCGGAGTATCCTACATTAGCCAACGTCGGCCCGCGCCGAACATCTGCGTCAGGTGAGAGCCGCGCCCACCGCAAGAGAGAAACTAGCCACGATCATCGGCAGCTGGCGCTCGGCGGCGAGCATGGACTGCTTCGCCGTGGGCGGGATGGTCCTCTCGATCAGCAGCTGCAAAAGGTAGGCGACCGTGAGCGTGATAAACGCCAGGTGGGTTGAGATGAGGCCGGTTGCGATGGCAGAAGTGGTCGTCGTTCCGAAGAGGGCAATGCCTATGGCCAGGACTGCGATCCACGGCGGCAGATCGTGCTGGATCGCCGCAGCCTGCTGAAGGCCGCCGATGAAGGCGATGATCACGCTCGCGTGGCATATCAGCAGTGGCTCGCAAATCGGTCGGAGGTCGTCTGAGACGAGCGGCAAAAGCGGCAGCAGACAGAACGGCACCGTGCCAATGCGAAGGAGCGCGGCAGACGCGGCTCGCGCGGTCACAGCCGGTTGAGACGCGTCCTGCATGGACACCTCAGCGCCTGGCCGTGACCGCTGCTGAGGCATGCGCTGATGTAAGGCCGCCTGCGCGCCTTGCGACAGCAGGAGTAGCACCAGCGTGGTCATCGTGGTCGTCATGCTGCGCACGGAGCCGGGGCCCGGTTCTTCGCAGCGTCTCGAAAAAAGATAGTATATCGGTAAGGGTCCGCCCGCAGGCGCATTTTGTATACCGAGGCGGTGCCCGGTGCCGAAAGATTGAGTAATTTTGCGTCGTCCTGTATGTGCTCTCTGGCCTCCGTCTTCTCTTGCATCGTGTGGGCAGACGGCTGGCATCCTCACCATCCTCTCCGTGGCCTAACTAGTAAGTTTGTCAGTCACAGCGAGAATTGTCGTGTGCCATGACAGTAACAGAGATCAGACGTTTAGCACGATTCGCCCACAACGCACAAGAACATCACTCAACACCACCTCGCCACCGCACCTCGCAGAACCGCAGCCGGCCAAACACGTCCCATTCCGCTCGAGCGAGCTCCATGCCCAGGTCGGGCCGCGCGTCGCGCAGCCACGCCTCGATCAGGGGCGGGTGGGACGGGTCCACCTCGAGCCACACCGCGCGCGGACCGCCTTGCCGCAGCAGCCGCGGCGCCGCCAGCAGCACTTCCCGCACGACGTCGAGGCCATCGTCGCCGCCGCAGAGCGCGCGCTCGTCCTCGTGGCCTGCCACCTCGGGCTCGAGCTGCTCGTAGTCGGCCCGAGGGATGTACGGCGGGTTGCTCACCTGCCACGGACGGAGTCCGGATGTGGTGGAGAGGTCGGAAAAGGGGTGTGATGGCGTGGCTGAGCCAGGCGTGCGTGCGTGCGTGCGTGCGTGCGTGCGTGCGTGCGTGCGTGCGTGCGTGCGTGCGTGTGTGTGTGTGTGTGTGTGTGTGTGTGTGTGTGTGTGTGTGTGTGTGTGTGTGTGTGTGTGTGTGTGTGTGTGTGTGTGTGTGTGTGCGTGCGTGCGTGTGTGTGTGTGTGTGTGTGCGCGTGTGTGCTTTGGAGGTGTTGCGCGCGCAGCGGCGCACCACGACGTCGAAGCGCTGGTCGGATGGGCGCCACGCCGCCACCCCGCCGTCGACAGCGGCTGCCGAATACCGGTCGTCCAGCCCGCACAGCTCCGCGTTGCGTGCCGCGAGCGCAGCCGCGCTAGCGCTGACGTCGATCCCGACGCAGCGGGCGGCGGGCAGCCTGCTGAGGAGCGCGAGGCCGATGGCGCCGGTGCCGCAGCCGACGTCGAGGAAGGCGGCCGCGTCGCCGTGCGCCTGCGCCACCAGCTCTACCAGCCCCTCCGTCTCCGGCCGCGGGATGAGCACCGGCGGCCGCACCTCGAGCGTGAGGTCCATGAAGTCCCAATCGCCGAGGATGTACTGGACGGGCTCGCGCGCGAGCCGGCGCGCGCACATGCGCTCAAAGGCGGCGCGCGACTCGGCGTCGAGCTCCTCCTCCCCGTGGATCGATAGCGCCGCACGGCTCGTGCCGAGGCCGGCGCAGCGGGCGAGCAGATGCTCTGCGGAGAGCGCGGGCTCTGGCACTCCTCCAGAGGCGAAGGCGCTCGTGGCCGTCTGCAGCGCTGCGCCAATGGTGCGAGACGAGCTAGGCAGGCGGAAGGCGGAGGAGGCGGTGGCAAGCGAGAGGAGGCGGGCCAAGCCGAGCGAGTGTGGTGCTGCCGGCGCCATATGTCGACACAACAACCTAAAAGTGCGGAGTGAAAAAGAAAGAAGAGGCCGCACTCTCTCACATGACAAGCGATCCCACGTGTGGTGGCGGCGTGCCGTCCTCCCATCCCTCCCTTGGGTTGTCTGTTTTCTTTCTTTCTTTAAGCGATCCCACGATTGCGAATGTGGGGACTACATGATTACACGAAGGGTGGAGGGGCCCGTCTGCAGAGCTAGGCGGCGCGGGCACCCCCCACTGGGGCCGAGGACAAGAAGCCGTTTGTCGCTTGCTTGTTCTTTTGCTTGTTGATCCAGTCGATACGCTCCTTGCACGCCTGCTTGTTGATGTTTTCGGCGTCGCCCGCCACCGCCGCCTTGGAGATCTGCTGGCTGCGTGTGGTGGACGACGAAGGAGGAGGCGCTCGCGCGCCGACGCGCGACGCCGCCCCGTACACCGTCCGGTCCGTGTTGGTGCCCGCCGCCTCCTTGGCGAACACGTGGAGGAACTGCTTGGTGGGCGGCGCAATGCCTCCCAAAGTTTCCACGAGCACCAGCCGCGTTATGGCCTTCTTGACCCACTTCGCGTCGTAGTACTGCGCCCCCATCCACTTCCAGCCCGTATCCGTCTTGACCCACCCCTTTCCATACGCGTGGTCGAAAAGAAAAGCAAAACAAAATTCGCCGCCTCCTGCCTGGGCATTTTCCTTTTTTGCCGGGACGCGTCACGCACGGGTCGCACGACGCGGCCGGGATCGAGGGCGCCACCAGAGCAAGTTGACCCGACTGCCTGACGCCATCTTTAGCCTTGTTGGTCTCATCAACCCATCATGCAAGCGCTCTTCTCCCTCGCAGTAGTGACGTCGTTCGTCGACGTGCACGGTGTAGCTGCCGCCTTCGATGGCGCAGCCGATCCCAGCATGGCTCCTTCCACCGAGCACCAGCGACACGCGAGCGACACGAGGACTTTTCTCGCCGACCACGGCCTTGAGTGCTGCATCGATCCCATCATGCGCAACCCGAGCTTTCTAGCCGGCGGCGCGGGCGTGGACTCGCCAGACGATGTGCGCTTCCTCTCTGACGAGCAGATAGCAAAGCTTCCCATTCCCGAGGTCAAGAGAACCATCCTGATGGCGCTGGCGAGCGAGGCTCGGGAGCGCCGCCGTGCCACGAGGGCGCAGGAGGGCAGGCAGGGAGAGCGAGTCAGCATGATCTTCGCCTCGCTCGAAACCATGCTACGCGGATTCATGCTCGGAGCCGGCCTGAGCTTCATCTACGAGACGCTGCTGCTAAACCGGGATTTTTATCAAGCCGAGGCTGACCTCGCCCCGCGAGTCAAGCGCGCCGCCTTCCGTTCGCTTGTCCTGGGCGGCGCGACCGCACTTGCGATGCACGGCTCGGCCATTGTCATTCCCCACTGGATGCGGCACGTGTGGCTTGCGTGACTGAGATAACGCAGTCGAGGCGGCCAGAGAAAAGTGGTGAGAGATCGCATCTGAGAGGATCGCGTGCGGCTGCGGGGGCGCATCCGCGCGGGTGCGCGGCTTACACTTGCAGTGTGTTCTGCCCCCAGGAAGCTTGAGAGACGCGCGAACGCGGATTCCTGGAGAGTTCTCCCCTCGTCACGGCGTCACGGGCGTCACGGCTCACGCTTTGCCGGATGCGGGATGCCGCGAGAAAGGAATCAAGAAAACACGCGTCGTGGAAAGACGCGGTACAGATCGTATACTACCTTAACTCTTATCCTTTTTTCATTGAGGTATAATGTCATATTGACGTCTCATTAAATAAGCGACGCGACCTCCAATGCGCGGCGACAGCCCGCAGCCCCACAGACCGCCCGCGTTGCGCTTTCCGTCTCCGGCTCCCCCCCACTCTCATACTGTCTAGCACGAGCGCCGCACAGCGGCCCCCGCTCCAGCGCGCTCAGGGAGACCCACCCTGCTGCTCCTCTGCCTCCCCGCGCTTTGCTGGTCGCGGCCTCGCCCTTACGCAGTTGATGTCGCACCTTTGGGGCGTCGGAGGCCGAAGTGAGGGAGGTGCGGGCCACGACGACGGGTACAGGCCGTTTGTCTTACAGACAGTGCGCACAGTACTGCGTGCGGCATGCGCGGGCTCGACGTGAGGCAGGCGACTGTCGCGGGGTGAGCTGCGGGCGGTGGGGGTGGAGGCTTGCGGCCAAGAGCGGCGCTGCGGGGACACGAGCGGGGAAAGGAGGCGGGCAGAGGGCGCTGCAAAGGGGCGCACGCGAACGGGGTGGTAAAGTCGAGGACGTACTGGTGCTTGGCCGGCTCCTGCGGGCAGCAGGGCGCGAGGGGGACTCTTCGCGCGCGGCTTTCGTAACAAACCTCTCTCCCCGACGCCGAGCAGCGACTCGGCTGCATCTCGGCTGCATCTCGGCTGCTAACCGCCCCGCATCTCGGCCTGCATCTCGGCTCGCATCTCGGCTCGCATCTCGCCTCGACGCCGAGCAGCGTGTGCTCGTTCTTCCGTCCGCACCGCACGCGCAGAGCCGCGCTTCGTGCGCCCGAGCCGTTGACGTACGTCTGGGTGTACGTGGCGCCGGTGCCGAGCTTGTCGGCGGCGGGGTCGTACTTGCCGAGCAGGAACTCTGTCGTCACCTTTCGGCCCTCGAGGTGGTACTGCCGCACCTGCTTGGTGGGGCAGACCTCGTACGTCCAGTAGTCCTTAGAGTGCTGGAAGCAGCGCCGGCCGAGCTTGTCGAGCAGCCGCAGCGGAGCCAGCTCGAGGTCAGGCGCCACGGGCACCTCCTCCACGCCCCCGCTCGCACCAACAGACGCCGCCGCGGCCGGAGAGGCGGCGGCGGAGGCGGCGGCGGAGGAGGCGGCGGCGGAGGCGGCGGCGGCGGAGGAACCGCGAGTCGCCTTGCCTCCTGTGTCGGCGTCGGCGCCAGCGGCGGCGGCGGCGGCGGCGCACATGGCGGCTGAGCGGAGCGTGATGAGGTAGCTCCGTGCAGCCGGCTCCGCCACCGAGATGACTCCGTCCTCGTCGCGTCGGTTTCCGGCGCAGATGTGCTGCACGGTCGATGAGCGGCCGTCTGCGCCGCTCACGTACTTCTGAATGAAGCGCTGCGAGCTCTCGATGTACTTGTCCGCGGCGGGGTTGTGCGTTCCGAGCGAGAACTCGGTCCTCACCTTGGCGGCGCCCGAGAGAGCGTTCTCCGCGTGGTACTGCCGCACCGAGTTGCCGGGGCACACCTCGTACGTCCAGTACCCCGAGCGCATAAAGAAGCAGGTACCGGAGAGCGCGCCGAGCGCGTCGCGCACGCGCTCGGTCGCCGTCGACGATGGGGAGACGGCCGCCGCCGCCGCGGAGCTCTCGCCTGCCTTTGCGCCGGCCGGGACGAGCTGTGCAGCCTGAGGAAATTCGTTGTACACGGTGCCCGAGCTGTCCAGTTCGCGGAAGAGGCTGGCGCCGTAGAAGCAGTGGTACTCCCAGCCAAAAGGAACATCCGCCAAGGTTGCTAACGCGGCGGCGCCCAACATCGTGCGATTGTGTGTGCAAAAAGAAATTTGCTCCGGGACTTGTGGGACCCTGTCGTGTGGGTGAACCCTGCCCAGCCCCCCTCCGTGTCGCGATGCGCTCCCCACTCCCTTTCCCCTGTGTCCCTGATCGTCCTTACAAGATCCTGCTCGTGCAGGTGGGGACCCTGTCCTTCTCCCACCCCTCGTTTGGCTTGCCCGTTTTATTTATTGCTCGTATGCCACGTCGCCGCCTGTGTTTGGGTTTCTATGTTTGCGATTTGGAATTTGGTATTTGTCCAACTCTTTGTTTATTATTTATTTAAGATCGCAAGGGCGGGGACCTGTTGCGGTGTTTGCTGGTTCTTTTTTACCCTAACCCACCTCACAGTAGAGAGGTGTCCGTTTTTATTTATTCCATCCCTACAAAGAACAGTCGCCGACCATCCCTACAAAGAACCCTGCACATACACCGACAATTTCTGCTCCTTTTTACCCATCAGCCATCTCCTAGCAGAGGTGCCCGTTTTATTTATTCTTGCACCTCCTTGCTCTCCTATGTGCTATGTGCCACGTGGCTGTGTGTGTTTGGGTTTCTATGTTTGCGATTTGGATTTTGGATTTTCTACTGCACTTTGTTTATTTATTTCTCAGTACTCATCTTCTTCTCTGTTTGACCGTTTTATTTGTTCAACCAGTAGGAGGCCCGCGCCTGCCCCCGTGCCGCCGGGTGCAACCTGTCCTATCCCTGTCGTGTGGGTGAACCCTGCCCAGCCCCCCTCCGTGTCGCGATGCGCTCCCCGCTCCCGTTCCCCTGTGTCCCTGATCGTCCTTACAAGATCCTGCTCGTGCAGGTGGGGACCCTGTCCTTCTCCCTTCTCCCACCCCTCGTTTGGCGTGCCCGTTTTATTTATCCAGCCCCCCTCCGTGTCGCGATGCGCTCCCCGCTCCCGTTCCCCTGTGTCCCTGATCGTCCTTACAAGATCCTGCTCGTGTGCAGGTGGGGACCCTGTCCTTCTCCCACCCCTCGTTTGGCGTGCGCGTTTTATTTATTCCCTGTGTGGTGGCGGCGTGCCGTTCTCCCATCCCTCCCTTGGGTTGTGTGTTCTCTTTCTTTCTTTCTGGCGGCGTGCCGTCCTCCCATCCCTCCCTTGGGTTGTCCGTTTTCTTTCTTTCTTTTTTTTACCAGGGGTTTTAGGTACTACATGTATATTGTTGGCAAGGTCGTTGTCTGCTCTATTTATTCTAAGCTGCTTATGTGGCACCGCAGAGGCTCCCTTGGGGATGCTTGAGGCCACCCCAACCACTCACGAAGCCTTACGTGGGCGTATTCAAATCTACTTTTATGGTTTACCTACATTATGCGAGTAGTATTCGCGCGCAAGAAGCGTCGCTACACAGAGCCTACCCGCCCCCCACCGGGCCGAAGAGCCAGCCCTATCCGCGCGGCGATGCGCCCTGCCCCGTCGCTTTTGCAAAATCCTGCAAAGGTGGGGACGTGTCTGTCCTCGACCCAGCCCTAGCTTGGGATGTCCGTTATATTTCTCGCTCGTGCGTCCTTGTGCTTGGAACTTGGCTAACCTCCTTTCACCTCCTGCTCTCCTATGCCACGTGGCTGTGTGTGTTTGGGTTTCTATGTTTGCGATTTGGATTTTGGATTTTCTGCTGCACTTTGTTTATTTCTGCAGCTTGAAGGGATCGTCTTTGTATGGCCCCCACCCAAACTTCCCCTTCTTCTCGAGCGGCATCTGGACCTCCGCCTGCGAGCGGCCATGGAGCGCCGTGGCGTACAGCTCCGTGTTAGCTCGCAGCTCCCTGCATCCGCCCTTCTCCACATCGCCGGTCATCATGCCGATGCAGAACTCAATCCACGCCTCCACCGCAAACACACGCGGAAGCCCGGTGACCGCATCAACAATGATCTCCAGCTTGGCGAGGCCGTTTTCCATCACCACCTTGCAGAAGGACGGATACCCCTGCTTTTGAAGCCACGCATCGAAGCCCAGCACCCGCTTCTCGTACTGCGCGCTCACCCGCTGCTGCCGCTCCTATAAAGACAACCACACGTGTGAGCCTAAGGGAGCGGCGTGCTCTGCCCGCACCGCCGCACCATCACGCGCCTTGCCTTCGAAGCTGCCTGCCTGGAGCCACACCTGGAACTTGCCGTGGTGCTCGGCGTCGTTTGTGTAGTCCTTGCGTTGCGGCATCGATGCGACCGACAAAGAGCCCGCTGGGGTCTCCCTTGCGATTGCCTCGGTGCCCCGCCAGCGTGCTTTTGTCATCATGCTGTCGTGCCTCTCCGCAGCCGCCGCGCTACCGCGGCCTCCGCCGCAGAAGGTGGCCCGCGCCTTCGCGAATCCCGTCTTGCGGCTTTTGCCGGATGCCCACCGCTTGGCCTCATTGCGGGGGCGGCCACCGGGCCGTGCCGTGGCCGCCCCCGTAGCTCGCGAAGCTGCGAACCGGGCTGCGTCCACTGCGCCGCGCCAGCGCGCCGCGACCGTCGGCCCCCGGACTCGGTTCTGCGGCCTGCGCCGGAGAGTTGGCGGTCGTGCGCTGGGTGGTGATCGTCATCTGTCTGCTCTGCTGTGCTTCTCGCTCGTGCGTCCTTGGACTTGTGCTGACCTCCTTTCACCTCCTGCTCTCCTATGAGGGTGTTCGGGTTTGGGTGTTTTCAGTGCGTTTCAAGCGAGCCAGCCTGTGGCAGAACACTTCGCTTCGCGCTGCAGCGCTTGGGCCACCGCCCTGGCCATGTATGAGCTTTTGCCGGCCACGGCGGCTACCAAGAGGATGGGCCCGGGCTCTGGCGCCGCGAGCACGGTGCCACCTCGACGAGAGCAGGCCTGAAGCCGCCCGGCGCTCGCCGCGCTGCCCACGCCAGAGACTGGCTTGCTGCCGCACCACCTCTCGTGACTGTACTAGGCGGGACGGAGGTCGACACTGGTCAGCACCGCGGCTGGTGACGCCGCGAGGCGCCCGCCAACTCTCGGCGACGGCGAGACGATGCAAGATGTGCAGCTCTCGGCAGACGTCGAGGCGCTCGAGCTGCGGTGCAACGAGCCGCTCCGCTCCCGTACGACCCGCTTGTACAGTGACAAGTGGCACGGTTCGCTCCCGTCTACACGCTCGACTTCCTCACCAGGGTGCGCCGCTTGCGCGCACGCACACCTTTTGCCCGCCGCACACGCGCACCCTGCCACAGACACGTCGATGTCGCGCACTGCTCAGGTGGGGCAGACGTTCCCAGGCTCGACGCCTGAAAGTGTTGTCCTATCATCCGCGCTCGTCGGCGACTCGACCGACTTCCCCAGCGAGAGTGTTGCGAGCAACAGGGTCGCCTCGGCGGCTTGAGCTGCGCAGCGACAGATCACTCCTCACCAGGCAAGCTGCGGCCCGGACGGCCGCGTCTCGTAGTTGCACACCCGTGGCGACTACGTTCCCGCGGCGGTGACAATGTCCCGTGTTGACGACGGGAGACACTGGTGTCACGCGCCGGCTTGCTTGCGGCTCGGCGCGCGCGCCGCCGCGCGTGGCGGCGGCCGCGTGAGGCGTTGCACACCCTCGTTCGGGCGTGTGTCGTGGCTGTGTTATGTGTGTTGGTCCTTGCACGCAGATTTTGTCTTTTTATGAATGTTTGCTACTCGCGTACTCGCGGGGAATGATCACTGGCAGGCAAAAAAATAAAGAACCGACGTCCGTCCCCTTTGACCTTTCGCGCGAACTCCAGTCTCCACGCGCATCACGGCCGCTGATATCCAGCGAGATCTCGGCTGCTCTCCATGGGATGGGGTTCAGGTGCGGGCAAGGGCAAGATCCTTGCCCCCGCTGCCGGCGACCTGGTTCACGTCAGCGCCCACAACCCGTTTGACGGCAAGATGGTGCTTACCGACATCTCGGGCCTCGCACACAGGGCGTCGAAGAAGCAGCCGAAGCAGGTGGCGCAGGAGGGAATCTCGCAGCGTCAGCAGCAGTATGTGACGCAGCACCTCCAGGGCGTCTATGCTTTGGGTGGCAAAGTGTGTCTCGTCCTTGATGGCCGTGCGTACCCACCAAAGAAGAAGGAGCGCGAGAGGCGGCGCGGGACAAGCCAGCAGGCAGTCGATGAGGCGCTGGCAAAGGAGGCGAGGAACGAGGACGCCTCCAAGGAGTGGAAGACTGCTGCACGACCCGCCGAGCCATTCTGGGCGTGGCTGATGCAGGAGTGCATCGACAAGGACATGCCCTTCATCGTTGCACCGTACGACGAGGCTGACGGCGAGGAGAGCGGCGGTGGGCTAGACGCGCTCGCAGCTGCAGCGGCGGCGCAAGCCCAAGCTGAGGCGGACGAGGCAGCGGAGGAAGCTGCGGCCGCAGAGGCGGAGGCTGCTGCCGAGGTGGAGGCGGAGGCGGAGGCGTCGCCGGCGCCGGCGGCAGCGGGTCCGTCCGGTGTCTCGAGCCCACGGCCGGTGCCCCGTCCACCCCGCTCATTCGAGTCGCCACCGCAGCTGGGCACGCCCTCGAATGCGGTTCCAACTCCTGGCAGCATCGACACACTCAATCGGAGCCAGGGCAAGAGCAAGCAGCGGCGCAAGTCGCGAGGAGGACGGGAGCGGGGTGGACGTGGCGGACGTGGCGGACGTGGCCCAGTCGCCCAACTAGACATGACTAATGAGTAAAAAAGGGAGTCACAAAATGAGAAACACATACACCTCACACACCCGACGGCGGCTTGAGCACTGCGCAGTTGAGGTTGTGGAAGCCGATGGTCCACCACCACACGTAGTTGAGCAGGGGCTTGTCCTCCTCCTTCACGACGTCGCCGAGCATCTTCCACGCCTTCATGCCAGAGAAGGGCACCTCCACCACGTAGCGGCAGCACGTCACGCCACGGTTGCGGATGCCCTGGTCGATGGTGAAGCGCGGCGCCTTTCTGAGGAAGCAAGGAGTTATCACCTCGTTGAGGTGCGGCAGGTGGACGCGCAGCTTCGAGACACCCTTGTCGTACATGACTGAGAACTTCGCCGGCATGCGCTCAAAGGCCGGGATGCACGCCTTGCACGCCTCGTGCTCGGAGGAGCGGCCCATGAAAAGGTCGGTCGCGATGATGATCTGGCCATTCGGCGTGCACCACGTGAGCCCCATCGCCGCCGAGTGCTTCGACTTGTCCGAACGGAGGAGGTTGGACGTCATGATGCTCTCGCGTGAGGTCTCGGTCATGATGTCGGTGCAGTCTCCGATGGCAACCACGGTGTCGAGGCCGCACTCCTTGAAGGACTTGGGCAGCAGGTCGAGCACCGTCTGGTAGTCCTTGGGCTCGATGACGAGGTTCTCCTTCGCAAAGCGGCCGAGGCGACGGATCCACCGCGAAGAGTCTACGCTCATTCGCGGGGCAAGGAGGCCAAAGAAAGAGGCGAGCTCGTCGATATCTTTATATCCCCGCATTCGCCACAGGGCCGCTAGGAACTGGAAGCGCGGGTGCAGCGCCGCCTGCCCCTCCTCCCTCGCTCGCCGCACGCCATCCGTCCTCTCGACCCACCGGTACACCATCTCGTACACCTTCATGGCCTCGTCCCACGAGTCGAAGCCAAACATCTTCTTGAACAGCCTCGAGCGCTCTGGAAGAGCAAAGTACTCGGGTCGCAAGTTAGCAAAGGAGAGCTGCTCGCGCAGAGGCCATGCGCGAGGAGGGTTGAGCGGGTTTGCATCGGCAGAGTACTCGAGCCCGGCTTGCGACGCACGAGAGACGAGGTAGTCACGGAGATGCCTCGAAGATCTTCCACCCCTGTCGGGCATCTCTACCGGTAGCGGCTCCTCAATCCTCAGCTCGACATCGACGTGCATAAACCCGCCAGGCACAGTCGAGGGTGGAGGGATGACCATCAATGTCTTCGCCATCGAGTGCCGGACCTGTCCAGCTGGCACCTCAAAGATGATTGGCTGCTGCGGTGGCTGCCAATCCTCGGGCACAGGCACCCGCAGTCGCACGGTCTTTGAGGACACGGTCGGGGCGGGAGGTGGTCCTGCAGGCGCGCTCGAGTCTGGCCCAGCACCCTCGCCCTCACCCTCGCCCTCCTCCTCCGCCGCCGCCTTGAGCTCGCGCGTTTGGCGCTGCAGGCGCCTCACCTCGGTCCTCAACTTCTTGACAAGTTCGGAGCGCTCTGTGGTGGTGGCGAAAAGCTTACGCAGGCGGGAGAGACGCCACACCTCCTCATCCCCGTCGAGGTCGCGCGTGGAGTCATCACTGTCGACTGTGGCACGCCACCGTCTGAGAGGAGCAGAGCCAGGCGGCCGCCTCGGCTGCACAGCAGGCGGCGGAGCGGGACCCGTGACTGTCGCGTCGACAAAGAACTCGTCGCCCTCAAGCAGCACCTTTGCCCCAATGATGCGCTCCGCGGGTAGCTCGGGCCGGTGCGTACCGCACAGCTTGTTCTGTTTCTGGGGCAGCGGACGTGGATTCCCGTCTTTTGTGAAGCTGAGGCCCATCTCGTGCTCCATGATGTACGCGGCATCCTCCACACGGGAAGCAGGGATGCTCTCAAGGCCTACGGTGCACTCGCAACCGGCCACCCAGCACTTGTCTTGGCCGGGCTTCAAACTCTGGCGCCGCTTCCTCCCGGCGCCGCCGAGGGCTCGGCGGGCTGCCTGAGCGTAGGAATAGGTGAGACTCGGCTCGTTGGCGTCATCACCGTCGAGGCCGATCCCTTCGGCGGCTGCGGCGGCGGCACCGGCCTGGAGAAGGCCCTGCATGGAGAGCAGCCGAGATCTCGCTGGCTTTCAGCGCGCCGTGATGCGGGTGGGTTCGCGCGAAACGTTCAAAGGACGGACGTCGCTTCTTTTTTGCGTCTCCCAGTGATCATTCCCCACGAGTACGCGAGTAGCAAACTATTAAAAAGACAAAATCTGGGGGCAAGGACCAAACACACATAACACAGCCACGACACACGCCCGAACGAGGGTGTGCAACGCCTCACGCGGCCGCCACGCGCGGCGGCGCGCGCGCCGAGCCGCAAGCAAGCCGGCGCGTGACACCAGTGTCTCCCGTCGTCAACACGGGACATTGTCACCGCCGCGGGAACGTAGTCGCCACGGGTGTGCAACTACGAGACGCGGCCGTCCGGGCCGCAGCTTGCCTGGTGAGGAGTGATCTGTCGCTGCGCAGCTCAAGCCGCCGAGGCGACCCTGTTGCTCGCAACACTCTCGCTGGGGAAGTCGGTCGAGTCGCCGACGAGCGCGGATGATAGGACAACACTCCCAGGCGTCGAGCCTGGGAACGTCTGCCCCACCTGAGCAGTGCGCGACATCGACGTGTCTGTGGCAGGGTGCGCGTGTGCGGCGGGCAATAGGTGTGCGTGCGCGCAAGCGGCGCACCCTGGTGAGGAAGTCGAGCGTGTAGACGGGAGCGAACCGTGCCACTTGTCACTGTACAAGCGGGTCGTACGGGAGCGGAGCGGCTCGTTGCACCGCAGCTCGAGCGCCTCGACGTCTGCCGAGAGCTGCACATCTTGCACCGTCTCACCGTCGCCGAGAGTTGGCGGGCGCCTCGCGGCGTCACCAGCCGCGGTGCTGACCAGTGTCGACCTCCGTCCCGCCTAGTACAGTCACGAGAGGTGGTGCGGCAGCAAGCCAGTCTCTGGCGTGGGCAGCGCGGCGAGCGCCGGGCGGCTTCAGGGCCTACTCACGTCGAGGTGGCACCGTGCTCGCGGCGCCAGAGCCCGGGCCCATCCTCTTGGTAGCCGCCGTGGCCGGCAAAAGCTCGCTCACGGCCAGGGCGGTGGCCCAAGCGCTGCAGCGCGAAGCGAAGTGTTCTGCCACAGGCTGGCTCGCTTGAAACGCACTGAAAACACCCAAACCCGAACCTACTCATGCCACGTGGCTGTGTGTGTTTGGGTTTCTATGTTTGCGATTTGGATTTTGGATTTTCCATTGCACTTTGTTTATTTATTTATTCTTTTCCCTCGCACAAAAAACATCACCTTAAAATCCCTGTGTGGTGGCGGCTTGGGCTGTCTGTTTTCTTTCTTTCTTTCTTTCTTTCTTTCTTTCGGCGCGATGGACGCACGACGCACTCCTTTTTTACCAGTACAAAGAAGTGACACGTTTGACACGCGGTCGTCTGTGCTTGTTGATGCCATGACTCGTCGCTTCAATGTCGGCGACTACGGCGGCGGCGATGAGCCAGCGGCGAAGGGCGCGTTGCTCTCGTGGCGTGATGATCCGGATGAGACTCTCTCTGATTGGCGCATCGAGGTCAACGTGCCGGACGCCGCCCGGAACAGCAAGACGTATCATGTCCACAAGGTCGTGATTGCAGGCGGCCCGCGCAAGAGTGACTATTTCGTGCGACAGTGCCGCGGCAATGGCGCTTCGCGCCTCGCAGAGGCAGCGCGTGGCGAGAGCAAGCTGGACCTGGATGCCGAGGCTGCGGAGGCGATGCCCGCTTTCCTCGATTATGTGTACACGGGTGAGCTGCAAGCGACCAAAGAAAACGCTTGCGCGCTGTTCCACCTGGCCGAGTATACGGCGAACCCCTCGCTCCATGCTGAGGTGAAGCTGTATCTCGAGGAGAGTCTCGACTACACGTGCGCTCCGACGTACATCGCGCACGCTCATCTCTTCTCGCAGGACAAGCTGATAGACGCTGCGGTGGAGGCTGCCGCCGAACAACTCCAGCTGTACGCGGACCACGTCTTTTTGCCTGGAGATCATCGTTTCGACCCGGCTACGGCCGATAACTTCAGCGGCTGCCCGGAGCTCCACGATCTGTTTGCTCTGCACCACACGCTCTTCGCTCGTGTGGTCACATCGGACCACAGACCGGAGGCCGACCACGGGGGCTACTACCACGGCGGGGGCTACTACCACCAGAGGCACGGGGGAGCTGGTGTGTCGTGGTGTGTCGTGCGGCTTGTCGCAGACTACTGCACCCGGCGCGCGGACGATATTGACGCGAGCTTCCTGGAGGCCGTCGTCGACGAGTCGTTCCTGGACAACCTCGGCAGTGACGTCGCAATGCCGCTGCTCGAGGCGGCGATGAAGCATCCCGGCAGCGACGCCAGCACAAAGCTGCGAGACAGGTGTATCCAAAAGGCGGGCGAGGACTGGAAGAAAACGCTGCTGCCGCTGGCACAGAAGGAGAAGCGGCGGCGGGAGGAGCAGGCTGCGGCGGAGGAAGCAGCAGCGGCACGCTCGCGAAAGAAGAAGGCCGCGAAGCGCACAGCTCCGCCGGCTGCATCATCGTCCGAGACGGTGCCTGCCATGCCGCTCGGGCCCGGACTGCCCGCAGATATGCAGCTCAAGCTTCTGGGCAACATGCTGCTGCATCAGGGCGGCGAGGACCCTTTCGACTAGCCCTTTGACGCTACGAGTACGACACACGTTCGTCTCTGCGTATGGGGTGTCAGTGGCTGTCTCGGCGAATGCAGAGGGTGCACGAAAGCGATAGCGACGGCAGCGATGAGAGACTTGACCCATGTATCATGTACACTGCAGTGTGGTTGTGCGCCGCGTCGCGGGCGCGCCTTATATCGATCAACCATTAGGACCCTGCGACTACCTCTTACGACTAGCCTATTATATCAATACATAAATACGGCGCCGCGCGTTCGTTTCTTTGCTCAGATGCACTAGCCCCAGCCGTCGGGGGGGTGTTGCCGGCGCTGGTAGATGATCTCTCGGAGAAGAGCTGGAGGGACCTTGGCGCCGGGGTCACGAGGAACTTGCAAGTCCAGTCGTGGCCGAGGCGGCGACGGGCGCGGTGCAGAGGTGGATCCGGCTCAATGATGAGGCTACGGCGCGCATAATGAAGAGAGAGGAACACATCGAGTGGCTGAGGAAGCTCTTCACTGGGCGGAAAGAAGCTCGGCCGGCCTTGAGGGAGTCGCAGAGGAGGGATAACGCAGGCAACGCAGGGACGGTCCAACAGCCAGTGGGACGAACGAGGGCCGCGACGGCAGCTCAAGCGGGAGGGAGCGGAGACAGTGGGCAGAGAGCGAAGTGGGTGAGACTGATGATGCTCCTTCGACTTAGGGAGCGGTTCAGATGCTGGGCGGGCTTCAGGCTGGTGCTCACGCGAAAAGGAATCGACGCGATGTGCAAAAAATAAAATATTCTTAGCTTCAAGCCCCCCTCCGAGACTAGGGACAGAACCCAGAGATACATACGTCAAAGGGACTGCGCCTCGCCCCCACTTGCCCTGACTGCACAGGATAGCATGCCCCGATAACGGCGACACATAGTGGGGGACACTGCGCAAGGAGGGGGTGCGAAAGCTCATTGGGGTGCTAGGTGGGACCATGAGGGGGGGTGGGCGGGGTCCTGTGGGGGTGAAATGTTGCGCGGCGAATTCGAACCTACCCCCTCGCCGCGCCGATCCTCACGCGGAGGGTAAAACCCTGTGGGACAAAACCCCCCCGCGGTCGGCTGTCTTCAGAGTGGACCCCCCCCTCCCCAGCCTCCCCTGTGCATCTCGCACCCCCCCCCGCTCCCCATCGGTGACTCGCGAAGGACACGGACACTCGGGGTGAGGGGGGGTCCCCCAGAGAGGGGGCTTTGGGGCATTGTTGGGTTGATCGCTCGTGCCGATCTCGGGTCGATCTCGGGTCGATCTCGGATCGATCTCGGGTCGATCTCGGGTCGATCTCGGGTCGATCTCGGGTCATCTCGGGTCATGCATCTAGAAAAGAAAAAAATGGGGCGAGGATGAGGCGAGATGAGGCGAGGTGTGAGGCGAGGTGGGGGGCGAGATGAGGCGAGATGAGGCGAGATGAGGCGAGATGAGGCGAGATGAGGCGAGGTGAGGCGAGATGAGGCGAGGTGAGGCGATATGAGGCGAGGTGAGGCGAGATGAGGCGAGGTGTGAGGCGAGATGAGGGTTGAGGCGAGGTGAGGCGAGATGAGGCGAGGTGAGGCGAGATGAGGCGAGGTGAGGCGAGATGAAGCGAGGTGAGGCGAGATGAAGCGAGGTGAGGCGAGATGAGGCGAGATGAGGCGAGACTAGGAGGCGAGATGAAGCGGGATGTTGTGTGGCTGCTTGTGCTGCCAAGCAGGCAGCACAAGCAGCCATACAAGTGAGCTTTTGGGTTGTGTGGCTGCTTGTGCTGCCTGCTTGTCAGCCCCGAGCGCTGCCGGCGAGCCCGCGTGAAGTAGCTGACGTAGTCTCCGCGCATCTCGCGTGCTGCGGCC